TTTGGTTCGTTGAAGTCGCTCTACGGGATAACCCATTGGGCAGAGGTCGCTCAATGGGCTCGGCAATCGCTTTGCCTTTCGCTTAGGTGCTTGTAACGAGCCCAGCATGCCCAAAGAAGGAGGCAGAGTAACTAGATCCACTTTTCGGTCCGTCTAACCATCACGCAATGGCGTACAGGAGAAGAAGAGCCCTAGTCATGAAATGCGGCAGTTGTGCTCAGCCACATGGTAAAAACAAGTTTCTTCCGCTTAACGATACAAGCTTGAGTAATAAGTTTGCAGTATTTTATTAAGGTTGTCCCAAAAGCTCGGGAACATTTTTTGAATCTCGTATCAGATATTTCCGCAGCCATTTCGAGATCCAGTTATGTAATCTAACCTTCTATTAGGTCATCCCATTCAAAAGTGCCGACGGTTTTATTCGAATAAAACAAAGAGGAGAATAGATAAAAAAGTAATATTTTAGCTTAGGTTAAATAAATCCCTCCTTCACCAATGACCCGCTCCCAGTGCCCCGAAAGCCTTTGGACCTCTGGTACCTTCGATTTTTCAACAAGTGTGGGTAAATTGCTGTTGATGCCAATTTCGGCGAATGACAAAACATTGTAGCGTTTGCCGTCGGAGAGTACCCTCAACTGACCAGGGCAGTTGAATAGGCTTTATTTATTTATTTATTTATTTATTTATCATGCACACACGGGTGCGCTACATTATGAGCGAAACAGATAAGTTACAAAACAAATCGACACAAAGAAAAATAACGAGAACATCAACAAACTTGGCAACACAAATACTCACAAGCGGAGACCCTCCAGACCCTAAACTTTCAAAAATCTTGAATGCCCACAATAGTCGGTATGTCAACTTCCTTAAGTTTCCTCTTGAAAACCAAGGTACTTGGCGCCTTCTGCAGCTCTGATGGCAGCGACTGAAGCCACCTTGCTCCACGGAAAAAAAGTGAATTGAAAACTTTGGATCGCTGAGTCCTGCTTAACTTAGGACATTGTAATGACAGTGAAGAAATGCGGCGCCCTACTTGGTCTGTAAGTCGATACTTACTGGGCGTCAATCTTAAATCTCCTTTCAGTAACTTAAAGCAGAACAAAATA